TAATATAATCAAAATGACCAGAACTAAGCTGTAACAGATATTCAAGATGTGTTCTTCAAAATAAGAGTAGCTGCCGATTATGGTGCACCTACTATGTGTCAAGTACTATGTTAGGCACTTCTTATTCATTTATTTTAAATAATAACTCTACATTTTAGAAATGAGAAAGTTGAGTCACAGAGAGCAATGTGTTGCCATGGAAAAATGGGATTTAGAATAAGACACACTTGAGTTCAAATACTGCTTCTATGACTTACAAATTTTAAAGCCTTGGACCAGTTTCTTAACTTTTCTGAGCCTGGCACATAATAAGTGCCCAGTAATGATGGCTATTGTTATTATAGTAGATCTGGCTTCCTGCTCAAAGATACACCGGTAATGTACAGTAGAAATGGAATTCAAACCCAGATCTGTTCATCTCAAAGCTACCTTCTTCTTTTCAGGATAATATGAATGCACATGTTTAGATTTCTCCATTAAAGGAGGTGTCATGGTATACGGAAAGATCAATAAAGTCTTCAGTCCCATTCTCCATCACCAATGAGCTGGATGACCTTGGATGAGTCATTTCCTCTCTCTTTTCCCTCGGTTTTCTTCTTTATAACAGGAAGGGGTTGAACTAGATATCCTCTAGGTTGTTTGTTCTACCTCTGACATCAAGAAACACAGCACCAAACTGGCTTCCCATGAGGGTTGAAGAATGGCAATGACATTGATAATTTAAAGAAGGTGGGGATAGGAGAGTGGGTAAAGCTTCTATTCACTGCTTGTCCAAAATCTTTAACAACCAAACCAGTTGGGTTTCTTTTCTGCTTCCCAACTTGAGCTGGGAAGGGATCCAAGTTACAGAGGGCTTTAGAAGACAACAAAACCAGTTGCCCACACTCACAGCTTTCTTGGGCAAGTTCCTTCTCAGTCTCTCTTTTTCTGTCTTCTTCTCTTTCTCACTCTCTCCCATCCTCCCTTCTTTCCTTTTCTTTTCCTTTCTTTTTTAAAAGGGAAAACTAAAAGCAGAAGGTGGCCAACTAAGGTAACTAAAACAGAGAATTCAGAGTTACAGGAGGAATTTGATTTCTCCTCTAGGTTTCCCTTTTCTGACATTATTTTCTAAAAAATACGCATATTTAAGAGGACATGAAACAAGTCCTACACTCCTGGTTAGTGAATTTTAAACTCGTTTCTGTTACCCTAGGGTTACTTGTCTGCAGAAGTTCAGGGTAGGAGAAACCTTCTCGGAGACTCCTTTGACCACTTTTGGCCACTTAGGTGGCCCGTTTGGGGTGGAGAGAACATTCAGTTGCTCATCAAGCCTCATCAAGCTCCACTTGTATGGCAGTCACTGTGGCAGACCCTGCCTGGGGATATGGAGGGAGGAAAGACTCTCATTCCAAGTTCTTATGGAGCTTAAAGTCCAGTATAAAGAATTTAACAAAAAAAGTAAATAAACAATTATGAACGCTGAGAGGTGTTACAAAGGAGCTACGAAACCACCTAGTTCCTATGCTCAGCTCTCACCACAGAGAAACTTTCCTCTACTCTATTTCCACTTCTGCTACATGAGTTTCTTCAGTTTGACCATGAATCATCACCCCAAGGTCGTCCTGAGCATATCTGCCCTCTGCATCATCAATGAGGATCACAGGACCCTTCTGAGCTTGCCCTGGCCCCCTGGGACTCCAATGCTTGGTCTCCTACCTTGCTTCCTGGTCTGCTCTCCCACTCTGCTCCTGCCCATTTTCTTCTGGGCTGCGTTCTCTGAATCGCCCCTCCGCTCTTGCTTTTGGGCCTTCGCTCTTGCTGATCCCTCTACCAGCAATGCCTTTCTCTTGTCCAAACCCTCCTGATTCTTCAAGGCCCTGTTCATGCTCCTATTTTCTTGCTACAACCATTCCTGAACTCTTCTCCCCATCCAGAGTATCTACTTACCCTTTCCTGATGTCTCGTGGCATTTGGTTTATTATACTTAATCAGAGCCCTCATCACCTTCTGCCTGGTGTTATAATAGTTTTTTGTGGATCTGTCCTAGGCCTTTGCTTGCTTAGCTTCACCTTCAAGGCAAGGATATTATTTATCTCTGCACCTCAAATAGGACATGGTGTAGTAAACACACACCTAGATTTGTTGAATCAATGTCCCAAAGATAAATTAATAATAAAGCATGTGTGAACAGTCTTGTATAGCTTTGTAAGATACATAGATAGATAGACAGACAG